CAAAGAGGGATGGGGTCTCCTGGGGGAAGGCAGGAGGGGTGTGCACAGAGAGAGCACAGAACAGCAGCCACAGAGCAGGCTGACTCAAATTCTGCCTTAATGACTAGCTCTGTGAGCAGGAAGAAGTGGCTTAAGCTCACTGGACTTCAGGTTCCCTCCCGAGAAGTGGTTATAGTAGGACATATTTTGCAGGATTGCTGAGTGGGTTTCCAAGTCTGTATTGTAATATCTATTGGGCATAAACCACCTTGCACAGGCTCTAGTCTCCCCTTTGAATTCCATCTGTTCTCTTGGTCTGCATGCCCTTCTCTGCCCTCCCCACTCCACCCTTCTCTCTGCCTGAGTCTCTATCCTGCTGTGTCTGAGCATAAAAGCAGTTGTAACCAAAACACCATATTCTTTCTCTGCCATGCCTAGGTGGGCATTGAGTTCAGAAGGGACAGTGATGTTTTATTCATCCTCACTGTGCTGTTTCTCAGGTGATCATTCATGCCAGACCTGTAAGTATTTTATGACAATTGATGTAAAAATATTCGTTTTGAGGAGGTTTTGGAATTTCATAATGTCAGTTCCTGAAAACCAAATGTCCATTTGTCTCAGTGTTTATTATGGATCTTAAATTTAAAAACATTTTATTTATTTATTTATTTTATTCGAATGACTGTACTGACTGCATATATGTAAGTTTACCTGTGTTGTGCAATGTTCACAGATGTCAGAAGAGGGAGTTAGATTCCCCTGGAACTGTAGGTATGAATGATTGTTAGCCACAATGTGGGTGCTGGGAATTGAACCTGGGTCCTCTGCAAGAGCAGCCAGTGCTCTTAACTGCTGAGCCATCTCTCCAACCCCAGATCTCAATTCTTTAATTCACATTTTGTTATATTTGTGTTAGACACAATTGGATATAGCATTAACCTGTGTATATGGAAATGCATCCCAGTCATCATCTGTATAGATTTACAAGTCTTCTATTTCTTAATATTCATGAACTTGGAATTTCCTTTTTTTTCTATTTTGAGGTAGGGTCTCATGTTCCAGGCTGGTTTCAAACTTGCTATGTAGCAAAGGATGACCTTAAACTTCTAATATTCTAGCCTCTACCTCCTGAGTGTTGAGATTATAGGTGAGTGCCACTATACCTGGTTTATGTGGTGCTGGGAATTGAATCCAGGGTTTTGTGCATGCTAGGTAAGCAATCCACCAACTCAGCTATATCCCTAGCACCTAGAATTTCCCTCTGTGTTTTTCTTGTTGGAGTATTGCTCTGTCAATTTTTATTTTGATTATTGGGTTATCATGCATATTCACAAACATTTCAGTATTTTTATTCTTAGTATTATTTCTTGTTTTCTACAATATTTTTACATTGAACTTGGCTGCTTCTCTGCTACCTTGAAAGCTTAAAGTGTTTAAACTAAGGCTTGTTTTCTCTTTTCTCCTCTTCCTCATCTCTGGATCTGAGGCTTGCACACAGGGCCTCGTTCAAGATGCCCAATTACTCTGTCCTTAAGCTACATCTGTAACCTTCCTAGTGGGAGAGGAGATAATATCTCATCTGACAAAGAATGTGTTGTTTTCACAAAATGTACTGAAAGTCATTCAGATATAACAAAAGGTTAAGACAGTTCATGAAATTGTTGCTGGCATAAAGATGAAGAGTTTTTCAGCTCTGATCTGCCTTTTCTTACCTCCTGGCTCTGGAGACTTACTGGCCGCAGGGAAGCCTTCCTATTCTTTTCCTTCTCTTTATTCTTTTCAGTATAGCTGTTTACTGTTATACATGGTGTGCGCTGATATGCAGAGCTATATGTTGGAGAATTCCCATACTAGTAAGAAGCTGTTCTGACAATCACTTGGCTACACAGTGGCAGATGCCTTCTTTCAAGTCAAACAAATTTTATAGATCTAAGAGTTATTATTAATGGTGGGGAATGGCAGGAAGTGGGGATGGGTAGGAGAACTTTGAATTCCAAGTTATACAATTCCATGTTAATTGTTTGCTTGTTCTGAGTTAACTATCCAGTCCAGGTAGTGCCTAGGGGGTACAGAGTTGATACAGGCAGATACTTCACTCAGTCTTGCAAGAAGAGTTTGAGGTCAGATGTCCAGAGAATGAGGAAGAGTGCAAGGGGTGATACTGAAAGAGGCACAAACATCACAAGTCTCAGAAATGTGGCTGACCACCTGACCAAAGGGGCAAGACTGAGCTCTGGAGTGATTGACAGCCTTCGCAGATGCTCTGTTAAAATCCACTGGCCGGAGATGAGATACAAAGGCAGTTTTTGTTTTCCTAGGGTATTAACTCACCACCACCTTCTCAGATAGTCTTCTTTCTGATGAAAACACAACTTAAAGATTCAGTTGCTGTTTCTGCTCCTGGGTGTTTATGGTGACAGGAAGCACAAGCTCCCCTATTCTGCTTACACATCCCCAGCCCTTAACTGAATTCTTAATATCATAGGGACATGGGACATTCTTTGTCTCAATTCCAAGTTGGCTACATCTAGGGCATAATGATATTCATTTTATTTTTTAATAGAAATAAGAAAATATTGCGTATCTTCTTTATTTCCTGAGTTGAACTAGACAGTCTTTAAGAGATCTTGAGACAGTTTCCATGAGGCAGAATATATTTAATTTGCTTTAATTTGCTTATTAGTGCTAATTTCTCTTGTGGTATTTTAAAAATTCTGAAGCCATTGTGTGTAGAATTGCTGTGAATTTGCAATGTCAATGGAAGGAATTATGGAATCCATTTTAGGTGTCACTCTACAAGGTGTAAATATAGTTTCATCCAATATATTTAGGTTTTCTTGCACAGAATCCGTTTGAACAATTAGAACTGTTCACACTGTGCAGTTCTGAAAGAGCACACACATCTAGGGGATCAAGCAACAATATTAGTGGTAAATTCTACAAGGACACTACTGGCTACAATCCTTTGTTTCACACATCTTTACCATGTTCCTAACCTCTACTGTGCCCTATTGCCTTTCAGAGAACCCTGCCACCCAAAGAGATGATGCTCCTGGGCTCTGGGGATCTGCTTCACGAGCTCGCTGGCCCAGTCCCTTCCCTCCTTCTGCAGAGCTGTTCTCTCCTCTGAAGGGCCCTATGCTCTGGCCCCACTTGCTAGTTCTTCCTAGTCCTTGTCCATGCTGGCCTCCTTCTCCAGCCCTGTACCTACCTCCCTCTCCATTTTCCATGGTGTATGAAAATATGCAGATGTGACTTATATTTGCAGAGTATCTCCCTCCTAACTTGTGGTCTTTACTAGCCACACTATGGTCAACAAGAAGGCCCTTCTTATTCTTGAGGCCTAGTCTGTTCTAGGCACTCAACTGTTTGTTTAATAAAGAAGGGAACAAACAGATGAACACTAAGATATAATTTCTGTTCTATGTGAAGATTATTTAAATATTAATTTATTTTAATGCCTTTAAAACATATTCTAATTGACCTTTTAACATTTAAAATTTTGTTTTACAGATAAATTCAGAAATATCGTTTTTCTTATTCAATATGTATAAACCCTAGAATGGCAAATGACTAAGGTGTATGAGAATATAAGAGCTCAGGGAACCAGACAGTTGTGCACATGGGTGTTTGGTATTGTCTTGCTCTGGGCAGGCTTAAAACTAGGCTTTTTCTTTAAGGCCTCAAGTTACTTCCTGAGCTTGGACACAGTCCAGGAACCTGAGGTGGGTGGAATGGTCATATCGAATGCCAAAGTAGTATTTGTCACTGTACTTTGCCAGTCCCAGTGACATGGTCTCTGAGCTCCCATCCTCCCGGAGACCTGCAGAGCCTGCGGCTTCTCTAATGTCATAGAATGAGATGACCTCAGCTGTCTAACTCACCTTACCCTGCTGAGGTCAAACCTTTATTGATATATTGGGTTCATATTCTGCAGTCCTAATAAAGAGTTACTTAACCCCCAAATTTATTTTCTGCTGAGCAACAACCTTGCCCTTTGACTTGCAAAATCATTTTATTTTTTGGTTCCATCATCTGTTTTTCATTATATCTTGTAAGCTTCTTTACATAGGCAGTGTTAACCACAGGCTAATTTGTTGCACACCTCAACTTTGAACCAGACTTTTGCCTTCAGGGAAGAAAGCTGACCAGTAGGACAGTGTTCTTGAGAAGACACTGTCCTTGTGAAAGTTGTACAGGACCCATACCACAGGGTAACTTGAAAGTCCATTTGAACCATCCTCTCATACCTAAAGCACACATAGATCAGGAGTCAGAATCCAGGGATCTGGACAGCAGAGGGTCTAACCCTGGGCTCCCTGTGTCCTGAGCAAAGTCTTACAGGATTCCCTCAGGACGGCATCCTGTTGTCCCTTGGAAACAGGCCTCTGGGAACACATACTCTCCCACCTTAGAGCACACTCCATTTGTGAGCCTTGTGCTCCCAGACCCCGTGCTGGTCAGTGCCAGGTTCTGCCCCTGGACTGCTGAGAATAGCAGTGTGTGGGTGTGGGTATCCCTCAGATTTCCTGTGCCCTCTGTGTCTGATTCTTGGCGTTAGGTCACAAACATAGCCAAAATGCTGATTAATTTATATGGTCGTTAGCTTGAGGACCAAAGGACTGGATTCCCACATTCCAAAGGAAACCAGGGAAACCACTTGCTCTTTTGTTTGTCCCTGTCCTGGGGTGGTTCCCATGTCACTGACTGTTCATGTAACTCCAGGCTGTAGTGGAGGATAAAGCTTGGTAGCTGTCAGACTAGCAGAGTCCTGGAAGCAGTGATAGGTGCTCTGGATTAAACTCTCAGGTTGCAGACGCCCCCTTTTGTCTCTTGTTGAGAGTTAAATCTCCATGAATGACAGGTTCCCACAGTCTAGGGGAGAAAACCAAGCTCTGCAAGGAGAGGGAGAACAGCCTTGTTGTTTCACTATCTGGCCTGTCTCCAGGGCCACTGCCAACTTCCTAAGTACCCAGCAGGGGTGGGTGGCGAGGAGGCGCTGGTGCTGCCGGGAAACAGGTGGGCTTTGTGCCCACATCAGAAGCCTGTAACTGCAACGGATCTTAGTCCCGCACGTCCCAGAGAGAGGGTGAGACCCTCTAGCTTCCGGTTCACGTGCTAGAGGACCCTTGGAGGGAACGGCATTGCCTGTGTGGGGTGGGACTCGACTCTAGGCTCCACCCACCTCTTCTACGCTCCAGGATAAAATCACAGCTCAACCTAAACTCACGGTTCCACCCTGCTGAAGCCAGTCTGAGAAGACCACAGCATCAAGCACCAGCACCATGCCTATGACACTGGGATACTGGAACGTCCGCGGTGTGAGAAGGGGGTCTGCCTGGAGGGTGGGGCCTGGGACGAGAGGCAGGATATTCAGAGCAGTCAGGGACCTTTCTAGCAGATGAGTACTCCTCAAGGCCTGTTAGAATCTTTAGCTTTCCCAAAATTGGGAGGCCGCATATGTGAGTGGATGCGTGTGTGTGTGTGTGTGTGTGTGTGTGTACACTGTGGGTGGTTGTGTTTGTGAAGTGTGGGAGGATTCAACTGAAGAAGATGAAGTCATACAGTAAGGATCGCACTATCCCTAACCTGTCACTGGTTGTCTCTCCCAGCTAACTCACCCTGTCCGCCTGCTCCTGGAATACACAGACTCCAGCTATGAGGAGAAGCGATATGCCATGGGGGACGGTAATGATGCCTTCCTGCTTCCCTTCCTGCCCATTGGTGCCCTGCAACCCATGCCTACCCCCCGCCACCTCCCCATCCTGTTGCTCAGCTCTGTAGGCCTCCTCCAGCTGGATCTAGAGCCTGATCCTTCTAGAAACCACTCTGAGGATGCAGTCTGGTCTACCAATATAGGACCCTGGGAATGCAGTTCCTAGCCCACCTGTATTTGTAATTGGACTGTGTTCCTTGTTGGGGTCCCTATTGGATCCAGGCTCCTTTTACTATCGATGTAGTTGACAGCCCACTCCTCTGCCTTGAAATGTGAGACTGAGTATGTGAGATACAGCGTCCCTGTCTCAGGAGGTCTTGCCCCTGACTCCTTGGGTCAGTCCCTGGGGATGGAGGGAGGGTGGGACACTGGGGTGATTTCTTTTCACATCATCTTGTTCATCACAGCTCCCGACTTTGACAGAAGCCAGTGGTTGAATGAAAAATTCAAGCTGGGCCTGGACTTTCCCAATGTAGGTACAGGGAAGGGGTGGTTTGGGAGAAGGGGATGGTGATGGTGTCCCCACCTCATCTCCTTGCCCAGCTGAGGGGGTTTGATGCTTCTCACTCCTGCTCCATTCCTGGTGGTCTGCACTATGTTCCTGTGATGGGCTATGTCCCAGCTATTGCGTTCAGTGTGCAGTGTATTTATGGAGGGCTTCCCATGCCAGGCACATTGACTGCCAGGCTCCATGTCTGTCCTAACCCAGGGGATGCTGGGATATCCATAGCCCATCTGGTCTTCTCTGCTTATTCATTCAGCTGCCCTACTTAATTGACGGGCCTCATAAGATCACCCAGAGCAACGCCATCCTGCGCTACATTGCCCGCAAGCACAACCTGTGTGAGTGGGGCTGGCTGGAGGGTGGCCATCCCCCTGGGCTTGGCTGGGATGGGCTGCTGATGGTGAGTCTGTGCTGCATGTGCCGCAGGTGGGGAGACAGAAGAGGAGAAGATCCGTGTGGACATTTTGGAGAACCAGGTCATGGACACCCGCATGCAGCTCATTATGCTCTGCTACAACCCTGACTTTGTGAGTCCCCCAATGGGTGGAGTAGAGCTTTGGGAACGGGAGTGAAACTCCTGCATCCATATCTGTGGTGGTCTCTTTTAGCAAAGGAATTTATTAGTTTTAATGATTCTCCAAGCTTTCCTATCTTACCAGCAGAATGATCCTGGTCATCGTAACATGTCACATAAACACTGTGAAACTATTTCTTCCAGTCTTAGGATATAGTTGAGGTGGACAGTGTGGACTATATAGGATATAGTGGGGTGGACAGTGTGTGATCATAAACATTTAGCATGTAGCTTAAAATCCCTCTCCTGTCTGTCTTTTGATCTTTTCCCTGTACCATCTCACCCAATGTTCACACCATCAAGCCTCTTCCTAAAACACAGACTCAAAGGAGGAAAATAGAGACTGGGGAGATGGCTCATGGGTAAAATTGCTTGCTGTAGAAGCATGAGGATTTGGATCCCTTGGGCTCACTGGCTAGCTAGTCTAGCCAGTCGGTGACTCCAGGTTCAATGACAGACCCTGTTTCCAAAAAAATAATAAAATAAAATAATAAGGTAGAGAGTTATTGAGAAACACACACACATACCCTGCAGAAGGGCATGCATGCACAATGGATAAAAACAGCACATGCCGGCTGGGGGAGTGCCATGCACACTGGTTTCACAATCTGCCCAACTCTTCCCCCAGAGTTCTTGGCATCAGCAGGAGTCAGGACTTCTCTTCCTAATAAGCAGATCAGGGTCAGCTGGAGGTCTTCCTTTCAACATTATGCATGCTGTTCAAATATCTTCTTTGTTCTTAGGCCACTCTCCCTATTCCCTCACCCTGTGTAACTTCATCTCTTTTCCTGAGATCTTTAAATGCTTTTCTGGTTCCACTTGACCTCTGGCACCAGAATCTGCGAGACCTCAGGAAATCCTGGGTGTGTCCCAAAGCACCTGTTTTGGATATTAGTGGTGATAAATTCAAGGACAATATGGCATTCCACTCGGATTTCCCATTGCCTCTGATTGATGAGGTCTGCTATTAGTAAAATAGTGATGCGTTAAATGGAAGCCTAGATACCAACTGAGGCCAAGTGTTGGGAAGGTGGCTTCTCCACAGTATAGCCCTACAAGACTGGTCTCTACCAGAGAACCTGTGTCCAAGGGTGGTGACAACTGTTTTCTGTCTCAGGAGAAGCAGAAGCCAGAGTTCTTGAAGGGCATCCCTGAAAAGATGAAGCTCTACTCTGAGTTCCTGGGGAAGCGGCCGTGGTTTGTAGGAGACAAGGTAAAGGGGAGGGAGGTGGAGAGGAGTTGCCATTCTTCCCAGGGTACCGGATTCCATCCCACTTACCCTCTGCTTCCTGCAGATCACCTTTGTGGATTTCCTTGCTTATGATATTCTTGACCAGTACCGCATATTTGAACCCAAGTGCCTGGATGCGTTCCCAAACCTGAAGGACTTTTTGGCCCGTTTTGAGGTGATGCCTGACTCTTTCCTCTTGCCTGGTTTTCCCTCCCACTTTCTGCAAACTCTCCTAGTCTTTGAGATTAAAGAAAGAATAACCAGGATTTCTAGAGCTTTCTGCCAGAATCTATGCTCAGCATCTCACATCTATGGAGTAAAATGTCAAAATTCTAAAAGATTGATGAAATTATGATTCCCATTGGGCAGATAAAGGAACTGACACTGGGGAGGGTAAGAGACTGTGCTACCGGCTTCTGGGTCAGCATTCACTAACTGTCCCAATTTTGTGCCAAAAGAAAAAGTCTCAGGCTCTCTCCTGCTTAGGACGCTTGGCAAGGGAGAACACGTCAAGAGTATGTAAGCTCCTAGTGAGTTTACCTTGTCTATTCCTCATCAAGTGATGCCCTTTCTCACCTTCATGGAGGGTGAGCCAGGCAAGACTGATATGAAGCTCCCAGATGTAGGCACTGTCCAAACCTGATCTGCATAGCACTTTGGTCCCTGTCAGTGAGATCCCAGAGCTGTAGTTGGTGCTGAACTGAGCGGCCATGTGAGTGCTTGCCTCATCAGAGGAATTTATCTTGAGCTATTTGCTGGTGGGTGTCTTGGTTCCTCCCTTTCATTCTTCTTCCTTTTGACATCACAGGTGCTGTCTGTGGAATGGGGTCAAGCTCTTTTTCTTCACTCATATTCTCTGGCATTCTGCTCTGTATGAGGCTCAGTGTCAGGCCCTGTGGGGCAGCATAATACCTCCACCCTAGGACTGAGTGAGCAGAGAGCTGCAGAAATATCAGGCTATAAGGTGCACATGGTTTTCCCCAGGGTTGCTGAGCCCAGCCCGGACCTTACTTCACAGCTAGCTTTGAGTCATACATCCATACATCTGGGAATTAGAGGGGGCTTACCGAAGGGCTTTGCACTCTGGGATCTGTTTACCTTGTCCACTCCTCATCAAGAGATGCACTTTCTTAGCTAGTTTTTCAGCTCTGGTTTTGAGCCCAGCTGAGTACCCTCAGGGACCATGCAAGAGCTGGCATGGCTGTGGGGCAGATGGATGGAGACAGCAGAGCAAGGCACATTAGCCCAGCTGTTCAGGCAATGGTAAATCTCTTTGAACTCTTGGGAATTGTTTGTGCATTCTATAGCCTGGTACATGGATTACATCATAACACACAAGTCATATGGCTTGGTCCTTGTATCAGGGGTAGAGATGAAGACTGCTGGGGTACAGTGTGATTGTGCTTGGGTACCACATGGACTCTGTTCTCAGGAAACTATTAGAGCCCTGTCCGGCTTTTCTTTGTGGGTTGTCATCTTTCATCCAGGGTTTGCTGAATCACTGGGTCCTTGGCTGTCTTCCTACACACGTGCACACATTCAAGTTCTTGGTGTTTTCCTATGCTTGGGTACCACATGGACTCTGTTCTCAGGAAACTATTAGAGCCCTGTCCAGCTTTTCTTTGTGGGTTGTCATCTTTCATCCAGGGTTTGCTGAATCTTGGTGTTTTCCTCCTGTTAGATCTTTCCCCTGTGTGTAAATACAGGCTAGAAAGAGCTTTCCTGTGAAATAGGAGCATGCCTGTGCAGACAGAGAGGGATGGGACCTTCTGGGGAAGAGTGGTAGAGAG